CATGACTCCGCCACCTCTGCCAGCTTCCTTAACACCAGGTCATGACGCCACCTGTAGCGGCCTTGGGACAATGCGGTCTTACAGCCTGACAGAATATGCTGGAGGCTTGCATTGCCAGTGCTGCACAGGGCACAGGATTCTTCCGCACCAAACCACAGGTGGAGATTTCTGGGACAAGGCAGGGTAGTGTAGGACGACCTGATCAGGAAGCTGAGCCTGGCCTGGGGGATCTTCCACATGTCCGTCCATGCCAGGGGCCTGTCTGTAACACCTTCCCAAGACATCTGGTTGATCCTGGCCAGGCCATCTGCCAGCTGCTTCCTCACTGTTTCCCCCATTTTCTTGTCCGAGAGTTCTGCAGTATAGGTACGACCAAGGCTGCGGATGGGTTGGCTTGCCAGCAGTGGGATCTCTTCACCACCTACAACAAGCCTTCCATTCATACAACCTCCCAGACACTGTTCAAAGAGGTGTACTGTTTACCTTCACTGTAAATGTCTTGCCTAAGAAAGGCCCAAAAGTTCTCAATAGGGTTTAAGTCAGGTGAAGAAGGGGGACAAGTCATTAGTTTTTCATCTTTAAGGCCTTTACTGGCCAGCCACGCAGTGGAGTACTTTGATGCATGTGATGGAGTGTTGTCTTGCATAAAAATCAAAGTCTTCTTGAAAGATGCAGAATTTTTCCTGTACCACTGCTTGAAGAAAGTGTCTTCTAAAAATTGGCAGTAGGTCTGAGAGTTGATGTGGAGTCATTTTTCAACCTGAAAAGGTCCAACTCTTTCATCTTTAATAATACCTGCCCATACCAGTACCCCACCTCCACCTTGCTGGCGTCTGAGTCGAAGTGGAGCTCTGTGTTCGTTACTGATCCAACCACGGGCCCAGCCCTCTGGTCCGTCAAAAGTCACTCTCATCTCATCAGTCCACAAAACCTTTGAAAAATCTGTCTTCAGATATTTCTTGGCCCATTCTTGACGTTTCAACTTGTGTGTCTTTTTCAGAGGTGGTCGGGTTTCAGCCTTGGCCATGTCTCTGGGAACTGAACACCTCTAACTTCTTGACACTCCAGGTAGGTTGCAGTTGTGAAATATGGCAGCACTGGAGGATAATGGGTTCCTGGTAGCTTCATGTTTGATTCTTCTCAAATCTTTGGCGGTTAATTTGCGTCTTTTCTTCTCGACACGTTTCTTGCGACCCTGTTGAGTATTTGCAACAAAATATTTGATGGTTCTGTGATCACAGCCTTGTGCAGCTCAACAATCTTGTCCCTGATGTCTGTAGAAAGCTCTTTGGTCTTGCCCATGGTGGAGACATTGGATGCTAGTTGTTTGGGTCTGGACAGGTGTCTTTTATACAGGTAACGAGGTGAGGCAGGTGTATTTGATGTCGCCTTTAGCATATTTTGTGAATACTGTGACGTTGTCTTAGATCAGGCATGCCCAAACTGTTCCTCAAAGGGCCGTGTGGCTGCAGGTTTTTGTTCCAACCAACCAAGAGCACATAGTTTGACCAATCAGCTGTCTGAAGACTGAGACCAGTTGATTAAACCTGTCAACTCAGGTATGCTACTGCTTGGTTGGAACAAAAACCTGCAGCCACAGCAGCTCTTGGTTGAACAGTTTGGGCACCCCTGTCTTAGATAGTCATGGTTTGTTGGGAGGAATTCTATCAGTCATTTACAAAACATTTTCCATTTTGTGACACAGCTCATATCTAGCAGTATTTTTTTTTAAAAATGAATCAGCTTTTGCCAATTAAATAATTTGTCTGGATGCCAAAGTTAGCCAGAAACCATTATTTCAATTGTTGTTTTCAAATTTTATGAGAAGAAGAAAAGTTTTTTTGTTTTTTAAATCACAGCTTTATTTGTCTTTTTCCTTCCAGGAATCTTTGCTTATCTTAACTACCATGTGACAAGGACTCGCCATGAGATCCTTGAAATCCTTATTAAAGGTCTCCAGCGTCTGGAGTACAGGGGCTATGACTCAGCTGGTAAGATCAAAAAATGCCTTTATATACACTGCCTTTCAGTACTTTTGTCCTCCTGTCCATAGAAGGCCAAATTATGCATTTATTAAACAAGATTGCAGACAAGATTATATATTGAAAATAACAATAATAAATAACAGCCACAGATTTGGCTCTTTTTTGTGAACAGATTGTTTTGCATTACTTTAATATATCAAATATTACATAATGTTATGCTAGCTGCCTTTACCTGTTTTTACCCGATATGCTAAAGGAGTGTAACCTCAGGAATTTAAAAGACACTAGAGACTGTTCAGAGCACAGACATTGCAGTGTAGACAACTATGAAGTGATAGAAGTTAACACTCAACCAATAATCTAGTGGTTGTGCTAATTTGTAATTTTGACTTTGTTAGGTGTGGGAATTGATGGTGGAAACAACAAAGAGTGGGAGTCAAACTCCAAGTCTATTCAACTGATCAAACAGCGTGGAAAGGTGAAGGCTCTTGAGATGGAGATCCACAGTAAGAAAACATTTCTTGTATATCCAGGATTTTCAACTGAAGCCTTGATTAGTCTTTCTTAAATGCTCTCTGCTTTTTGTTTATTGTAGAACAGCAGGATGTTGACCTGGATGTGGAGTTTGATGTTCACCTGGGAATTGCTCACACCCGCTGGGCCACTCATGGTGTTCCAAGTCCAGTCAATAGCCACCCACACAGATCTGACAAAAATAATGGTAAGTTGAAGGTTTAAAGCCATCTCTCTTTATACTTATTGTACTAGTATATCTCACAACGGTTACATGATAATCTTTGTCTCTCAGAGTTCATTGTCATTCACAATGGAATTATAACCAATTACAAAGACTTGAGGAAATTTTTGGTAAGAAGATACAATTTGTAATTTTTTTTAAGACATCATTTTACGCTAAAACTCACTATGACTTATAAACAGGACTCCTCCACTCTCCCTCTAACAGGAAAGCAAAGGCTATGAGTTTGAGTCAGAGACTGACACAGAGTCCATTGCTAAGCTGGTGAAGTACATGTATGACAACCGAGAGAGTGATGACATCAGTTTTGCCACATTGGTGGAAAGGGTGATTCAGCAGCTGGTAAAACTGTATACACACCTACACCACCACCTTATTGTTATGTCAAAGTCAACTTTATTGTCATCATAGGTTCAAAGATAATGTGAGTTACTTGTTTAACCACAGGAAGGAGCTTTCGCCCTGGTTTTCAAGAGTGTTCATTACCCCGGTGAAGCAGTTGGTACAAGGTACACAACTAATGACTAATGCTCTCAAACTGAAATTGAAGGCAGATTAAATTATTGTTGGCTCATTAAAATGTCCCTGCACAGGAGGGGAGGCCCATTGCTGATTGGAGTAAGGAGTAATCACAAGCTGTCAGCAGATCACATTCCTGTGCTCTACCGCTCATGTAATTTTATTTTATTTATTTTTATAAACCAATTTTTTATCTACAAGTGTGACTGAGATTAATTTCTTTTATTCATTTTCTATATTTTCCCACCTGGTAAAGACAAAAAGAGCTGTGGTGCTTTACCTCGGGCAGATCAGGACACTTGCCTGTTTCCCGTGGATGAGAAAGCTGTAGAGTACTATTTTGCACCAGATGCCAGGCAAATAACTGCTTTATCATTCCCACCTTACCCAATTCTCACCCATGTACCATAAATCTCAAGTTGTTTGGTGTGGGCTTGTGTGCGTGTGTTGTTCCAACAGCGCGGTTATCGAGCACACAAACCGGGTGATCTTCCTGGAGGATGATGATGTGGCTGCTGTGACCGATGGTCGCCTATCCATTCACAGAATCAAACGAACAGCTGGAGATTACCCCGCTCGTGCTATCCAGACCCTGCAGATGGAGCTGCAGCAGATAATGAAAGGTGAGTAGGATGTTGGTCTTTGTGTGTGCAGATGCAACCATTAATTACTACAGACATAATTTAAAAATAATTCATTACTTTGTACTTTGTTCTCTTTCTTGTAATTTCTTTTTGTATCGTTATGTTGTTTGTTCTGAAGGGTGATTGAGTGTTTTTATTGCTTTACTGCCTTTTATTGCCCAGCCCTGTGGCTGCACCTTCTTATCATGATATTTAGGGTCCTGCCCAATCGGCTCCACCCCAGGGACCTTTCTGTTTCAAAATGACCTTAGGTTTCCATCTATCCTCCTCTTTCACCTGAAAAGTTATAAACCTCAGGTTTCACCCGCACAGCTCTTGTTCTTTTTCAGAGAAGGTAATGCTTTCTTTGCCTTCATTAACATCAAACTGAAAAACTATAATTCTCTTCATGCCACCAGTCTTACCAGTTTTACCAATCTTTTTTCCCCCCAACTTTTAATTTTACAGCTTAACTTTGAATTGACAATTGTGCTTTGTTTACAACATGTTCACTTTTTTAATTGAATTGATTTAATGTTTGTTTCTAAATCCCAACAACGAAAGGAAGGTGAACTACTTTAGCATTGTGACACAGCACACCACTGCACACAACGTAACATGACCTCTGCTTTTAACCCATCACCAAAGGGAACAGTCGGCAGCTTTAAGCCCCCGGGGAGCAGTGTGTGGGGGACGGTGCCATGCTTAGTGCACCTCAGTGGTAACTTGGCAGCTGGTGGACTCAAACCTTCCGGACCCAAGTCCGCTTCCTTAACCATTGAGCCACCACTGCCCAACAATCGCCTTAACCAACCATAACTGGCTGAAATACCACAAGTGGGCGTTGAGGTTAAACCCCAAGAAGCTTTTAATACATGATAGCACATGCATTTTTGTAGTTATTGCAAAATTATCCACCCACATTGACACATTTATAAATATTGCTTCACTCCACTAAACTAATGGTAAGTAGACCATTGTCTTTCCTAGAAACCAGATATTACCATTTGACAAAGGAAATAAAATTAATAGTCAGTCCAATTTTCCTACTCTAGCACAAATGATAAGTAATGGAAATTAATTTGTTCATTGTTCATTTGTTGTGTCGGAGGGGCCCTCTCCCCACTTTAGGAAACACTGATCGTCTGAGACCAGTAATGTTGTTTGCTCTAAAATAAAATTTAAATGGATATTTTTCTAACTTGAACAACGATGATACAAGGTGGTACTGTAGGTGGTGAGTTGGTGCATAGTTTTGAGTATTAAGATAATGTAGGACACTGTTTCAAATTGTTCTGCAGTTTTTTTTTTAACAAAAAAAATGTGCAATGTTGCAAATGCTACATGCATTTTCTCAAAGGTGTTTTATTATTTATTTATTGTATTAATTGTATTGATTTTAAAAATGTAAAAAAAAAATGTTAAACCTTAAATTTATTATCCCATTTTCTTGTCTGCAAATCATTCATTCATTTAAAGCAATACAAGAAGATATGTCCCTCATTAAAAATAGTCATTATTAATTAATTTGTTAAATTATTATAAGATCCTGAAAACCCCTGGGCTGCATACTCTTTTATAATTTGTCCAAAGAAGTTAAAGTACAACCTTAGTAGTATAATGTAACTTTGCTAAAAGGGCACATTGTAAGACACATCACAGATTTAGATTCGTACAAATGTGTTACCGTGGGGAAAAACAAAATTGTCTGCAGATATCAGCGAAGTGGAAAACAACTGATCTGTGGTCTTGTTCTTGAAATTAATAATGGTTTAATTGCTATATTCAGCTGATTTGGCTTTTATATAGTTGCTAACAATTGAAAAGACTCCAACGTGTTTACAGAGCATGTTGACAAATGTTGTAGTAGTTTATGTAATTATGTTGTAACCATAGCTTTAATTAGCTACTGTCAAAAATCTAATAATATGTCATTGCCCCATTTATTCACAGTGTAATATGTTTCTACTCTGGTCTTATTTTGAATCATCTAGCAGAGAGCAGAGGAAATCTAAAGTTGGCAGACCTCAACATTCTTTTGTGGTCCCATCAGTACTCAGCCTCTAATCACATCCTCAGCCTTTATGCTGAGTAACCTAATTCACATTACCTCAGACTGCTTTCAGAAGCAGGCTGAAAAAGATCATTCCAATGTCTTTTTTTAACCATTAAATTGTAAATTTGTTAGAAAAATACTCAAATGTCTTATGTTATTTATTTTTGTGGACTTGTTATCCAAATAGCGTAGGTAAACGGCTAGATATCGTTTATGGTCTATCAGTCCATCTGGTTCATCTATGGTTTATCAGTGATTTGTTTTGTTTCCACCACAGGCAACTACAGCTCCTTCATGCAAAAAGAGATATTTGAGCAGCCGGAGTCTGTGGTCAACACCATGAGGGGGAGAATCAACTCTGATAACAACACAGGTGTCTTTCGACTTTGTCCCTTTTTCTGGGGTTGCCACAGCAAATCATTGATTTCCATTTCTCCCTGTTCTCTGCATCTTCTACTCTGACTCCAACTACACTATATTAAGTATTCGCTCACCCATTCAAATGATCAGAATCAGGTGTCCTAATCCCTTGGCCTGGCCACAGGTGTATAAAATCAAGCACTCAGGCATGCAGACTGTGAAACAAGACATTTGTGAAAGAATGGGCCGCTCTCAGGAGCTCAGTGAATTCCAGCGTGGAACTGTCATAGGATGCCACCTGTGCAACAAATCCAGTCGTGAAATTTCCTCGCTCCTAAATATTCCACAGTCAACTGTCAGCTCTATTATAACAAAAGTTTAAGTTTAAGTTTAAAATGGAAGCGTTTGGGAACAACAGCAACTCAGCCACGAAGTGGTAGGCCACGTAAAGTGACGGAGATGGGTCAGCGGATGCTGAAGCGCATAGTGCAAAGAGGTCGCCGACTTTCTGCACAGTCAATTGCTACAGAGCTACAAACTTCATGTGACCTTCAGATTAGCCCAAGTACAGTACGCAGAGAGCTTCATGGAATGGGTTTCCATGGCCGAGCAGCTGCAGCCAAGCCACACATCACCAAGTGCAATGCAAAGCGTCGGATGCAATGGTGTAAAGCACGCTGCCACTGGCTTCTAGAGCAGTGGGGACGTGTTCTCTGGAGTGATAAAACACGCTTTTCCATCAGGCACTCTGTTG